TAGACATGAGAAAAACATTGCTTTATAAACCTTAAGACTTAATACAAAAATTTGATATTTTGTGTATGAAAGCATAGTAATGTTCAGTGATAATTTGCGAAATTTTGTTAACATTCGCTTACTGATATAAAAGTTATAGCATGAAAACTATAACAAGCAAAAAATGGTTATGAAGTCGGTCCCAAGGACCGAGCTCGTGCTGAAAGAGTTAAATTAACATTATTTCCACATAGTATGATTAATGGGTTGAATCTAAAACACTACGTCAAACTAACTTGTACAATAAGTGTCCCATTAGTGTACTTTTTCCAGCATCTACATGGCCAATCACTACCAGGTTAATTAAAGGCTTATTCTGACCTCTTTCTTTCATATATTCAGCCTCAGAGTCTCTTTCTACTGCTTTAGATCTGTAAGAAAGATATTGAAAAAATGTATAGAATGATGCACCAACCACATGTCAATAACAACATCTAAAATAGCTTTAAATAAGATTCTTATGTAGACACGAATCCAAAAGTCTCTACATGGTGCTATCAACAAATTAAAGGAGCTCACCTATCATTCATAATACTTTAATTCTGTATATTGTTCTCAACTTTGCAGAGGAAAGATTGCATTAGAATTAATAGTTACAGTTTACAAAGTGTTCTATTTAAGAAACTGATTCTTCAAACAATGTAAAATACAGTTAGTAAATAACTAATTTATTTAAAACATTCACACAGACGTATTAATTTGAGCATACCTTATCTAGTTTAAAAAACCTGCATTCAAAGTTTTATTATATAATTATTTTCAAACAGTAATAACTTTACTAAAAAGGATTTGGAAACTAGCATGTTCATTTCTACTACAAGACATCATTCTTGCCTAGTTTAAGCAACATACATTGATAATATAATCAAACAAGATTATAAAATTATCTTCACCTTACAAAATACTTGTTTTACAAATTATGATTTTTTAGTACAGATGTTGTTACACACCAAGTTCATCACTTAGGTGCCAATGCCTTTAAGTTTGGTCAAGATACATTGAAATCTAGAAGGTTATTATACAAGATGTTTATTCCCAATATTCAGTTATATATTAAAGTAGCAATATTAAGGTTTGGCTAATTTCAGTAAAAACTGAAATTGAAGCGTAAAAAATGTAAAGCAGTTATTATAGGTTCCTTACTCAAGCTATGCTTGTAGATTGTTTTGTATGCACTTCAAACAAGTTTTCAAAAAATGTGGGCATTTTAGCCAGTTAACCTGATGAACTATGATATTAAATAGAAGCCCTTTCAACAGTGGCATGTAAGCATAAAGTGTATTTGAATTGTTACTTATGCACTCTTTTCTCTGTAAAGTTGTGATGGGGCAGTTAAAATTAGATGTTTTACATTACTAGCAGTCTTACAGTAAGGTTTAATAAAAATTTATACTTTACGACTTATAAGTACAAATTGAAATAAACACTTCCTTCAATTGAAAACTCACTTTCCATAAGGTTTAGGAGTAATAGCTTCAACCACTATTCCACAATTCTCAATAGGTCTGCTCTTTTCAACCAACTGACTACTGTTTGCTTCTGGTGAAGAGGACTTTTTGGATGGAGTGACACTGCAATCTCTTGTAGGTGAAACACCTTTCTTGCCTGACTGTTCAAGTTTTAATCTAGCATTATCCTTTTCTTTTTTTGTATCATTCTCTTCAATTCTGGACCTATACATTTTAAATTTCACATGTGAAAGCATGCTCAAAAATTCAGAATGAAACAAGTATATTCTTTCTCATACATATATAAGCAAGTAAAGATATCTATCTATACAAATGCTACACTGTTATCAATTTCTATTCTCCATACAAAATATGTCCCAAGTTCAAAAACAACAACATCTATTTATAAGAATAAACTGAAATATTCTAGAAATGCTTAACCAAACTCTTCATCAGTTAACATTTTATTACTGCTGTCACAATGGTTTTTGTAAATGCTGCTGTCCTTTTTTGAGGTAAAAAAGATAATTTTCTTATGACTCACCTAGACATACCTCCTTCAGAACCAACAGCTGTTGGCTCTTCACAGGTTTCAAATGCGAGTTCACTGACAGAATTTTCCACATCAACATACTCTGGCTTTTCTGATACCAAATTTTTTTTGAGATGAACACCTATAACAAACACACACAGAACTCAAGACAAAATCTGAAATTATAAAAAAATAAAATAAAAACGACTACACGAAAAATAATATTTTTATGTTTATCCTATTCAATTATCATATATAAACGAAATTATTATATGTTTTATGTTAAAAGCTATTGCCCTTATTAGTAATAATAAAACATGTTTTCATTATCTAGTTATTAGGAAATCAGTGTGGGATTACTGCATATTTTGAAAACAAACATAATGGTAAGTACTTGATGTTATTTAGTGACAATTAGCACATAGGAAGTGTCCAGATTATCGTTAAAAAATTTATAGCAAAATATTGTTTTAACCCTCTCGTCCTGGGTACCCCTTACTGAACATGACACAAGGTTTTAGTGTCTTACATTCAAAATTTTATTAAACTATTTTTTGTTTAACTTATACCAATTAGAATAGTATAAAATCTTAGCTAATAATCCATATTTTAATAATATACAAGTTTTAGGTTCTTAGTTCTATAAAAAAATCCCGAATTTCCACTAGCATGACCCACGTATCACATTTTGTCTTAGTATGTCATCATCCCCATTTTATCCATAACCCCTCGAAAATGTATGAAATTAAATGTACAATACTCTCTATAAAATTGTTATTGCTCAAACAAACCATAATTTTTATAGCCTATCAAATAGAAAATCAGATCCCTTCTGCCACACCCATCTGTCACATCCTCTCTTTCAGGATTTGTTAATAGTTCTCTGTTATGTTATTATAACCAATAGAAAGCCAAGATTTTCATCTATCAACTGAAATATAATGTTTTGTTCTGAACAGATAGTCGTCAATTTCACTCAGAATACAAGCTCCATTCCCATTGGAAAGCTAATGACTAGCTTGGATGAATTTGTAACAGCTCTTGTCTCATAGTTAGAAAGCCAGAAAATTTTTGAGAGGTAAGTGAATTTGTCTACTTTTTGCATGTTATTAGTCTTTATTTTTTGGTGCATTATTTAATTAAATAAAAATCAGTCTTAACTCTCCTCGACAATCGAGGGCTAGAAAAAAGAAGATTGGGAAAGTACTTTATTTCTTGTTTTTCATATTTATTCTTTATTTATTATAGAAGTAACTAAAATAAAAATACGGATCTTTTTAAGTTAGTTAAGACTAGATTAGGTAAAATAAGTAATAATAATATAATTAAAATGGTTCACGAGGCACACATGGGAGCAGCTCATGGGTAATGTAATTTGATAGCATAACAGGAGCTGCACGTTCCCCGAGTGATTTACAACTTATAATAGCACGAATAGTAGTTAGATGCAGTTCAAAGGGCAATAAAACAATAAAATGTAATTGTAAATAGATGTATAATGTTACAAACATAGTGCTACTTAAGATGAATGAATGTAGTTTCATGTTACAATTTGAAGTCATTCTAGAAAGAAAAAAGGGTAATTTAGGTTTATTTCAATTTATTTTTTTTGGTGGTTACGAGGTCGGTCGAATTTACCAACTTTTAAGATGGGTTGAATTGACCCGTTTTGAGATAGGGTAGAGAAATTAACAGATAAACTATAGAGATTTAATGAAAAAAACGTTTAAAATGCATTTAGGAGGTTTTAGGGATTACACATAGGAAATTTGATATTTTGAGATGACATTAAAATTACTTTACACACGGAATATTCAAAACAAATACTCAATATATTCATGGACAAATCTCTTATTTATTTTATTAAAAATGCTTCGCTAAGAAATATGACTTTTTGTATGTAAAAGACTTGTAATATTAAATGAAAGACTGCCAACTTTCTTGAAGATATACCCAATATATTGAGAGGTATAAGTATTAATTTATAAAGACTTTAAATGAGTACAAAGGGTCACATGATTAGGTCAAATTGACTGAGAGTTAAACAAAAAAATGTTTTTTTGCAAAAAATACAAATGGCAACCTTGAGAAGGGGTCTATCATTTGAAACCAAGGGTTATTTGAAAATCATGTAAAAAAAACCTAAAATAGTCAATACCACATTAGAATAATGCAGTGGTTGAAAAAGTCACAAAGCTAGAACATACCTCTTTTTTTTCTTTTTTTTTGGGGGGGTACATGTACTAATCTATTAACTCTCACACTACAGGCTTGATCTAATGCACTGACCTTGTAACCATTTTATGCTTGTCATAGTTTTCATACTATAACTTTTAATACAGTATGTATATCTTCACATAATTGTGCTGATTATCAGTAAACATTATAAGGTTTTCGTACACAAAATATCAGATACTTTATAAAGTTTTCAGATTTTTTAAAATAATGCTTTCTATGTGCATTTTTTCTTTTCAAATTTTGACTATCCAACAAACAAAATAATTTTGATTTTAAGATTAAAAATACTTTTTATGCATCAGAAAATTGTCAATTTCACATATGAAATCATTATAGCCTCCACATAATAAATGTTATTTTTAGAAAAAACATTATATTTTACTTGTTATTTTCCCTACTGTACCTCTGTATGGGATTGGTGGATTTGTTCGACCTCGTAAAGAACATAAAAAATTAGGAAATAGATATAAATCACACATTTTTCATTCTAGAATGACTACTGATAATAACACCATACCACATATGTTTAGTCCAAACAGCTTAAATCTCATAACATTATACATCTATATATATATATATATATATATATTTAATATTTTTATTTTATTGACGTTTCATTCACGTCTAACATAACAGAAGTTTTAATGATGTGGCACATGTGCACTCATGTTATCATATCCAAGAATATAAAACTGGCCTTTAGACCTGTCTTGGCTTTGTTCTAGCAGACCAGTATTTTGTAAAATACAGTCAAATTTGGGTTATAATATGTATATATATTATTACTATTTACAAACAAGTTCTTAAATTTCAGTTATTTTTCTTAAAACATAAAACAGTAAATAAAGAAAAATAGAAAACAATGATTTCTTCTACTTATGAAGCTTGTACTTGATTGCCATAATGTGCTAAGCCTCGTCAAATTTCACACATGGAGGATGTAAAACAAAATAATTTTGTTAGGTTTTATGTATGCATTTTCAAAAAACAATATCATAAATTGCTATATCAATAATACAGAATTCCATTATAACTTATCAGGATAGTAACTAAGCTGTATTTGGATCCAAAAAATATGATATTTTGAGCTCTGTTATCTCTTACCTCTCCACTTCAATTCTACCATGAAAAGGAAGATTTTCCCATGTAAACACTATGCAAAGACTGACAAAACAATGTGGGGGACATTCTGAGCTTTCGATTTGCTATACACACACATATACATCACAGAGAGAAGTAGGTGTACTTAAGCAAGTATTTCCAAAAATGGAAGAGGTGGGCAAGGCCACCTTAGTTGATTCACTAAATATGATAATATCTCAGAAAACAGAAAAGATAGGAATTTCTTACTTTATATTCTCACTTGTCAATATCAGTAATTTGAGCTTTTAATTCATAAGACACAATAAACTTTGTTTTTAGACATCACAAACATCTAATCTGAACCAATGCTGCATTCAACATATCAAGTGACGGACAAAAATAGATATTTATGAATATTTTTTTAACGTTTACTTTCCAAGTAAGAAATTAACCAACAAATAATACTAAAATTTTAATTATAATCTACACTTTGATGCAAATTTATTGACATATATTCATAAAATAGTAGTTCAGTAAAATTTTGAATGTAAATCTACAAACGTGATGACATGCCCTCTGACCCCTACTCATAGCAAAACCATCTAGATAGGGTTAACTCTGTCAACACATACTCGGGTCAATTTGACTAACCACAAGACCTCTTTTTACTTGTTTAACATCTTTATAGATTTAATACTTCTAGCTTTCAATATAGTGTGTATATTTTCACAAAATTTGGCAGTCTTTCAGTTGACATTACAAGTCTTTCACATGCAAAAATTATTTTTTTCAATAAAGTATTTTCAATAAACTAAAATAAAGATTTGTCCATGAATGTATTGAGTATTTGTTTTGAATAGTCTGAGGGCAAAGTGATTTTCATGTTAAAATAAAAATACTTTTCTTCATCACAAAAATCTCAAATTTCATTTGTGTAATCTCTACAACCTCCTAAATACAATTCAAATGTTTGTTTTCAGTAAGACTATATATTTTATCTGTTATTTTCTCTATACAAAGTTGGTCAATTTGACTGATCTCATAACCTCCGCCTCTTAAAAAAAAATCAAAATAAATCTAAATTACCCTCTTTTTCTTTCTAGTATGACTTCAAATGTAGTGTGAAACAACATTTGTTTATCCTAAGTAGCTTTAAACTCATAACAGTATACATCTATGTATAATTAAATTTTATTGTTTTATTGCCCTTTGAACTACTATCCGTGCCATTATAAGTTGTAAATCACTCAGGGAACGTGCACTTCAGGTTATGCTATCGATTTTACATTACCCACAAGCTGCTCACATGCGTGCCTCATGAAACATTTTTATTATATTAGTATTATTATTTATTTTACCTAATCTAATCTTAACTAACCTAAAAAGACCCCCCTATTTTTACGTTTTAGTTATTTTTATAATAATAAATAAAGAATAAACATTAAAAACAAGAAATAAAGTATTTACCCGTGTCTTCTTTTTTTCTTGGTGTCGATTGTCAACAACGCTTAACCCTACTTTTTTTATACTAATGGTAGTAATGCACAAAACAATTTTTATTAAATTAAATAATGCACCAAAGGATATAGACTAATAACATGCAAAAAATAGACACATTCCCTTACCTCTCTAACTATGAGACAAGAGCTGTTACAAATTCATCCAAGCTAGTCTCAGCTTTCCAATGGGAACAGAGCTTGTATTCTGAGTGAAATTGACGACTATCTGTTCAGAACAAAACATTATACTTCAGTTGATAGATGAAAACCTTGGCTTTCTATTGGTTATAATAACATAACAGAGAACTATTAACAAATCCTGAAAGAGAGGATGTGACAGATGGGTGTGGCAGAAGAGGTCTGATTTTCTATTTGATAGCTCTGTAACCAAACAAAATTAAAGGCTATAAAATTATGGTTTGTCTGAGCAATGACGATTTATAGTATGTAATTTATGTTTAATTTCATAGTTTTTGGAGTGGTAGTGGATAAAAGAGAGAAAAGAAGATGCCTACAGGAAATGTTTAACACTAGGGGAAATTAAGGATTTTTTTAAAATGTTGCCTCGTAGAATTAAGAACTTAAAAGTTATATACTATTAAAATGTGGATTATTAAGTAAGATTTTACGCTATACTAATTGGTATAACATAAATAAAAATTAGTTAATAAAATTGTGAAAGTAAGACACTAAAACCTTGTGTCATGTGCAGTAAAGGATACCCGTGGCAATACGGTTAACGAGCTCATTGATTAACTGCTTAGTAATTAATACTAATCACCCAGCTTTATTTTCATTACAAAAAAATTTTGGCTATATTCTTCTATATTTTAAATAAACAAAATGTACTAACGTATGAGGTACAACTAAGTAAAATTTAATGATGTGCAACATCAAATTGTATTTCTGTAATAACAAACACAAATAAAAAAAATGTAAATCTTCTAAGCATTTTTGAAAAAACTATATGCAACAAATCTCGTTATGAAAGGATTGACTATAAATGTACTAAAACTGTTACTATCATGCAAGTTTCTGTGTCTTCTTTAAATAAAATTATTTTGTGTATAGAAATCTCACATCGATATATAAGGAGATTGTATACCTTGTCTGTATCTGCATTCACGCCAATTCCGTTGAGGTTTAGGTTGTGTAGAAGATGTTGAAAAACCTTAGAAAATCAAATATAAAACAAATTCTGGCTATTATTAACAATGACAACTTAAGTTTAATCCTAATGTTTTAATATTTTAAAATTACATATTTCACATCATCATTTAAACAAACTTTGAACTGACAACAAGAATTCACCGATCCAGATAAACTGAAGATTGTGGCCTTCTAATTAATTGAGTTATTTTGTCACAATTATTTTTTCCTACAATGATGGGAACAAATCAGAAACACAGTCAGTTAATCATTGAAAGCAGTAGAACTACAATAAAATATTCAAAGATGGGAAAATCTTTATTTTTGAATGACCTTCAAAGTTTAGGCCAAACAGCTGACAAAAAGAACATTTCATATTATTTTATTACCCCTACTTTATTGCTTATACTATTTTCATTTTGTTTCTTAGCTTAATTTTTGCATAAGTTGTATTAAGTTTACTTCTTGATTTAAATAATTTTGTTTATTATGAATATTCTCTTCAAATAATAATACAACAAAATACCTTATCCAAATACTTTTAAACAGAAAACATTATTTTCACTAAATTTTCTCCACAAATAAAGACTGTTCAGTAACTCCAGAAAACATTTTACAAACATGCTCATATTTATAAAATGTTTTCTGTACATGTTGAAATTTCATGTTTTGTTTGTTTGTTTTTAGAGCAAAGTTACACAATTGGCTAACTGCACATTGTCCACTACAGGGAATCAAGCCCTGGATATTAGTGTTGCAAGTCTGTAAGCTCACCATTCAACCACTAGGGGACTTTAATACTATTATATTGTGCTCTACATTTCAGCTGACTTGAGAAACATTAGAAGTCACAGGAAACTTTCTGAAAATTTTACTTATTTATAAAGATTTTTGTATGTTTTAAAACTCATACAATGAAAAAAACAATTAATGAATTTTGTACTTTTTATTCTTTCTATATTATTATTTTCAACAACTTCAAGTTGAGTGAAACTGTAGTATTATTATTAGTGCAATTGTATTTGCAAAATTAATTTATTTTTGAAATTGAAGCTGAAAAAGTGTAAAGTTAGTAATGAATCAAAATTAATTTTCAACGGAATGAAAAGTTGTGTTAAAAATGAAAAACTTAATAAATGGAACCATTAGAAAGTTGGATAAGCAGTTCACAATGCTTCATGAAAGTAAAATTTACTAAAATGATACTTTATCCACAGGTTATAAATCTCTATATTACTCAAAAGCAAAATTTGTGAGGCATAAGGTATTGTAAGGTTATGTTTGGAAAGAATCAAACGTTACTTTCTTTGCATGTCAAAAAAGTACAAATGACATTTATATCCTTCACAATATTATATTCTATTTCAATAGAAAAACGTTTAATAGCTACCAAAGACTATTCTTAAAGTAACAAAGAAATAACAAAATAATTAAAAACAGGAAAATAAATATTAAAGATTGTATTGTATAAAATCTGTAATAGATAAATCAGTAAATTTAATGCAAAAAGTTTTTTAATTAATTCAGAGATCTATGACAGTATTTCTAAACAACTGAGAATATTATGAAATAAATATATTATATAAAATAATTCTATAAAACAAACCATTGGTATTAAGAACAGCATCCAAAGCCTTCTCAACATTAAAGTTATGTTCCATAGCAGCAGTTCTCAATGTCGACTCAGAAACTGTCTCTCCTACAACACTCTGCATTTCCTCCACACAACTGTTTAGTTGTTCTATTAAAAATTAAAAGAAACTATCAAGGTGAAATCCAGCACATTTAACTAAAAACGGAATTAGTTTACTGTACTATGAATAATTTCTTTTATATTAAAAAGAAATTATGTTCTTGTTCAAAATTTTTCAGTTTTCACCTACTTTAATGGTATCATTATGATGCATTTATTGAAGGTTATCTTACAAAATATTCATCAAAACATTAAGTTCTGCAAAACTCAGAAAATATAATTTCCATGATCAAATAATACTTGTTCCCTTATAAGCCTCCAGGTTTTCAATCACTATTTAATATATCTATTTCATTTTATTTAGTGTATTTCATTTAACCTAGGCTGTAGTTTTGTCCTTTTATCATTTCACTTATCTTGAAAAATCTGAAAAACAAAAGATTGTCTCATAATAGCAGAAACCACTTAATAGTACATACATTCTACACAAATACTAGTGAATGCATGCAGACATCAAGTCAAAATACAAAGGCATCTTCAATTAAAATTATACTGACAGAAGTATTCAATTTCCCAGTTTTAATCCAGTACCATAATAAATAGAAATTTGACAAAAGTTTATGCCTTGTTTAGCTTGACTCAAGTTTAAATGGCTAGTAGAAACATTCATCTGCGAGCTGCTAAAACTACCATCTTCTTCTTCCTCCTCTTCAGGTAATGTTTCTTCAGTTGGAGATGAAAAATATGCAGATATCGAATGCTTCTGAGCAGTTCGGTCAAACAGGAATTCTGCTTCTAAAACAATTAATTGGAGAACAATCAATGCTAAAGTTAGTAGAAAACCATCTGATTATCAACTAGTCTTACAACATACTTTTATTAGAATAAATAAAAGGTGCATATCAATGTGTTTACAATAATTTTTGGGATAAATATATGGTTATGACTACGGAATTTTTTTTTAATATGAGAAAGTTAAGATACGTCATGGCACTACAAAATCATAGTATGTTGCAAGGTTCATACTTTAGCAAGCAAAACCAAAAAGAAATTGAACTTTAGGACAAAGATCAAAAGACTGAATATGAGAAAGAGATATATTATACTGTTTTCTATAGATATAAATGCATATTCAAAATTCCAAAGCCAGTTACTGGCCTAATATCACTTAATATTTCTACACTGTTCAAGTAAATTTGATAATTTTTGGTTAGGCAAGTTTATGTACTTCTATACAAATTTATGTTATGTATTTTTTTTCACAATCTTAATTTACTAATTTGTTCTTCTCAAAATTGAATTTCACATGTACAGAGATATTATCCAATTTCCTTCTGAAAAAGGTAGGTCTACAAAAAACACTCAAGTTATTGACTTTCAAATTGGAAAGGCTGTAACACCAAACTAGGTACCAGAGAGGTTAAGACTCTTTTTAATTATAAGATACTGTTCAAACCGATCATAATTATTCATGACTCAGTGGTATTTTAAAGTGAAACTGATTTTTGCACAAGGATTAGACAGATCTGCTGATAACAACAGAGACAACCAGGAAATTTGGAAGTGGTTTGAATCTGAAAAACTTGACTGAGTTTTAATCTTTTAGGTGAAAAAAAAGAAAGACTATTACATGAAAATGCAGTGTGTGTGTACTTATATAAAGAAATGGACAATCAATTCAACAGGATCACTGAGTAGGTCATCAGCATTCTCTCTCTCAAAATGAATCTCTAGCAAACTAGCCATGATCAAAAACCAGGTAAAACAGAGAAAGGATAGTTGCTTCAATATTAAATTACAAATACTGCTTGTTTGTTTTGTAACAAAAGAAAGCTTGTATTCTTTCTCTTCCAAAGACTGGTGGTCTCTCACATCATTTGCTGGCTGTAATACACATATATCCAATCAGCCAGCAAAGTATGTTTCAATACGAGAAATAAATGACGTCATAACACCACATTTGTTATTTTTCTTCAATTATACACTGAATGTTTTGCTTTACAGCTTCTTCAAGAGCATTCCACTAAAACACAAACCATAACTGAAAGTACAAAACTTCAATTTGATGTTATGAGATCATTTATTTCTAGCATTAAAATGTTTTTTTATACAGTAGTATGCACTACAGAAATTATATAACGAGCAAAGGATGTTGCAGTAGTTGACTCTAACACTTAAGTGTAGTAGACCACAATAAATAGAAAACATGGTATGCCTGCATATCACACTTGTCTGTTTCAGTAAACTGACAAATAAAATTAACTTTAAAACTAATAAACTTCCCACAATGGCCAAAAAGCTGATTAATTTTCAGCACATACATGCCACATGGACAACACATCCTTTTAATAAAGAACTACAGCTCAAATAAAAATATAACCTCTAACAATAATTTAAAATGTTCTACCATTCAACTTTGATTTAAGATCACTTACAATAAAACATTATAATGATAAAAGGAAAGAGTCTTTAATGATGATTTAGAATGCATCACAAGATAATACATTTAAAATATCTCTTAGCTAAAATTCAAAACTTACCCTATACAAAAATAACCTTGTTACTACATAAATAATCTAGAGTGATGAAACCCACCTTTACAAGTGAAACTTTCAGTCAATTAAGTTATATATATATAATAAACATAAGAAAGGTTTAAATTATACACATGATTTAATTATACACATACAAGATTAAACCCTTTGCTGATGGAATAAGTAAAATGCCCTTTAACAATAAACACACAAATACCCTTTACCATTGAAAAATCAATGCGCAAGTACAAACTCACAATGCTTTATCTCCATGCATTCCTTGTCTTCTTTTTATTACTCTACTATTTGTGTTTAATTTGTTTTAAACCACTTATGAATAACTGTAACATTCCTACATGTCACGTGACCATGTGTTTGTTTACATACACATATTACCATATTCATGACACCATTACACTTTGTCAAGTATTCTGGTAGTTTATACGGTTCAGCTCATACTACCACATGTACCATTTCAGAAACACCAAAGTTACCTGCTGAAGCTACACACAGTAGTGATGGTAGTGTCATTTATATATCGGACTCCACAAAATTACTGGTAAAATTCAGAAAAATTAAGACTTTTTTAACTAAAAGTCTATTTATCATGATAATATTTCAAGCTGTTACTATTGTACTCCAACACACATTTAAAGAAAGCTGGACACCCTTGTATGTCATAGTTCTCACCACTCAGCTAGATTACAGAGGTGGCTCTCCCACAACACCAAGCAACATTTTGTATATGAAAGTTCACTCAATGTCTAGGAAAGCAAGTGTAACAATGCCCTTTCAGTCACATATTTCTCAACCACTAGACCATTGTAACATTTGATGGTCAAGTGATACTCCTACAATATAGTACATACATGAAATAACATCACTCAATAACTTGGAAATTAAGGCTCACAAAGCACTTCCCTACATAGGTTTCTTGACAAAACAGCTGTCCTAACTTTTATAATCAGCTTAAAAATCACAGATTATATATTATGTGTACATCACCTGATACAGATCAGTGATTGTCCTAACTGTCAATGTTCAAGCAGCTATCATCTGATACATAGTATACAGACCGTGACACTGCTCATGCCTCAATAATAGTACTAAATGGTGATAATCAAGCAGCAGTTGCAAAATGTAGTAAATACAACCTGCTACACCTCTCTACCCAATATCTCAGAAAGCATAGAACATTACTTTCTTTCAGTCACTAGTTGCTCAAACTGATGACTGTCTTAGATAGGGATGACAAATTAGTCCCACTCATACTGATCAGGAGATCAATGTTGGCATCATCATTGTTGATCAGAGCTGGTAGTCATTTCCATCTTCAACAACTCCACACCTGGTTTGTCACAGACCACCAGATAAGTCTTTTCAGCTTCTCATCCTTCATCAAGTGAGTCAGCATGACTAAAAATGGCATTCTCTTTCTCCTCTAACTCATTAGTCTCGTCTCCACAATCTTGGTATAGCCAGGACACCAAAGACTCATCTGCAGTGTACAGAGGCAGCTTATCAACATGTCCCACATGCTTTCATGCACCTAGTATCAACTGTAACTCCTATGCTAGTGAACAACACGTCACAGTATCAGGTATGGACCAATCCAGTTGGATCAAAGCTGCTTTGATGCTGTTGGCACACACCAGTAATCACAATACATTTATTTTTCCATTCATTTGTTTCTCAACAAAATCAGTCTTTTATAACAAGGCCAAAATCTTACAATTTGGTACATCAGTGTGCATCACCTAATAGCTTGAATAATAAGAAATGCCACTTTCTTTCATTCTGTGATTGTACAGATAAGTACCTGTCTTATCTACCAATGATCAAGCAGATATCTCAAGTAGTGTCACTCAGAAAATGAGGGTTGTAACACCCATTTAATCCTTTGTCATATGCCCTAATGATTTTCTTGTCCTAAATGATGATAATCAAGTAGCAGTCTCAAAATGTAGTCTATACATTCTGTTGTACATCACTACCAAACAGCTCAAACAGCAAGGAATGTTGCTTCTTTTCGATCATTTGTTGCTCAAATTAATAAGTCTTAACTAGAAATAACCAAGTACTTCTACCCATATTGATTAAGAGGTGAACATCTTGACTCCATTGCAGCTAAAACTGCTGTCGAGTGTAAACACAAGAGTGAGTTACACCTCAGTGCCCTCATGTCTTTGTGCTGTGCAAAATCTGGAGAATTTCTTGCTACAGAGTTCTGGGGGCACCTAGATGCAGCACTTTGGTAGAACCATGTATTATAGGTTGATAGCAGTGGTACATCATATCTTCCACTTGTAATTGTTCATACAGGGGCCACAGATTTTATGCATCCATACTATATTCCCCTGCTAGTGCTAGTTAGACTTGACCTTTCTGCACAGCAAGGATCACCTATGCTTGGTCAGTGTCCTTCAGTTACTAATTCCAGAGCTCCTAAAATATTAACTTTGGTATCCACCTGCCAATAGTCTTCTACTTCATGGTTTGCATTTGCTATGGTGCAAATAATGATGGTTTCAACTCCCACACAGTGTTTAGGGTCAAAATAAAAAAACAGAAACTGTCTCACCATGTGGCAAGATTGTCCATCTGTGAACTTCTATCATAAAAGTAGTGGCAATAGTGTTTCACGAAGTCCACAAATGAAAGCATCCCTTTCTTCATCATATAGTATCTACATTCAGGAGCCATGAGCATGTGGGTAGTAGAGGCAATTACATATTCTACTCTCTTCTGAAATTGCTCCATTTCCATTGTCACTGGTGTCATTGTCAAATAGAAACTTGCAGCTTTTATGTCAATAGGCCAGCAATAAAGCATCCACCAAAGCAAGCTTTAGGAGTTGGAATGGTGACATTCCTCACTCCATCATAAGTATGTCTCTACTTTCATAAAAGTCAACAATGGTACTGCTGTCTTCTTGGTCATAAATTGTTGGTAATATGATGAAAAACCAAAGAAACTGTGAGTTTCTCATTTTGTCATGGGCTGAAGCTATCTCACTGCAGCTACCTCAGCCATTTCTCACTACAATGGTCCTGAGAAATTTCACCTCTGTTTGCATGAACAAACACTTACTGATTTTAGTTTCTAGCCTACTTTTTGTATGTACTGGAATACCATCTTCAGGTTCTCAGATGCAGACTTAGAAGTGCAGCCAAACACCAAAACATCCTCAACACAAATAAGGCACCTCACCCACTGCAGCCTCTTAAATGTAAGCTCCATCTGCCACTCAGACTAAATGGCAAAATGTGGAATTCATACAAGCCATCTCTTATGCTAATAGCAGTCTTAGACCTGATTCTATCATCCAGCTTGACTTACAAATAGCTGGGTGTCAGATCAAGGATGTTGAACCAACTGGAACCTTCTAATGTTATGGGACATTCATCTGTTCACAATAAAGAAAACACACAGATGCAAGTTAGAACATTCACTCATCTAAAATCAACACAGAAGCTCAATATACAATTACTACTGGAGACAACCAAGCCCTCTTTGAAGGTTGTTGGACTCCATCCTGTGGCATCCTATTTAGATACTTACAATCTCCCTAGAGCTCCAGGAAAGCCAGAGCAGAAGTTTTTTTTTATCAAACATGCATTGCTTGTGTCTATATAGTGTTAAGTCACTGTTGTTTGACCCAATCAGCCATCTAGTACCACAAACATATCAGTGTATTCACCCAACAGGTCACATATGTGCTAGCAGCTACATGTTTGTTTTTGGGCATAGTGTGATAGACACAACCCTAGCATTACCACCAGTGTCAGTAACTTCCACTTTGTTTAGCATGCCAATGACCATTTCAGCATGTAGGTGGATGGCCTATTGTCTTCAGTTACAAAGCAGCACTGGGACTTCATCTTTTGTTGGGCAAATCACTGCCCAAGCTAATGCTGTCTGCTTTCTAAACAGGAAACAGTTTATTTCATGCTGTTTTTATAATCCCAATACATGGCACTGACACACCAGATTTTGTTTGGAATAAAGTATGGTACACTACTTTGTACATGGAAATAATTATTCCCGCTGCTACACACAATTGTAGCATTCACTGTTCCTGGAACTGGATGACTTTCAGCTCACCCATTGCACAGGCAAGACTGATAGACAAAGCTCTGCAAGAATGCCAATTCCAGCTCTGAGATCAGAAATGATAATTTTCATTTTGTGGCCAACACCTCCAAGATAAAGCTGAAGATTCACCTCTCCTTTAAGATCTATCACCATTTACCAGAATCAAGTTGGTACTCACTGGCTGTACTCATGGAGTCACTCAAATGGCTTGAAAGATTCCAAAATGCAAAAATGTTCTTTCCACTTCTGTGTCTATCAGAAATTCAATCTCTCATCTTTGTACCCTTATCGACACATACCAAGCTTCACCCCCAGCCCCGACAGAGCTGGGATGACCACTAAACTCCTTGTGTAAGCTGTCCACTATGCTCCCCAAACTAGTGGCCAAGCTTTACTTGAGCTCTGTCAGTTTTTAAGCATTTGTTACAGCATCCACCACTTATTATTGGTTATCCTGGACATGCTTATCCAATGACTGGTACTGATAACCTTGCCTACTTTGCTGCCTGCCAAAGTACTGATGTTGAGTGCTGGCTGGCATCTTCTGAGCTTTTGGTTGAAACCAATAGCCCTGCCATATATGATGCTCAGCAAAGTATGGAAAGCTCCTTCACTAATGTACAATTAGTCCACAAGTGAACCAGATTTTGTTCATCCAGTCATGGATGTACAGGCAAAGACACCTGCATTTGCTGCAGCATGTAACCCATGAGCAGACCTTACAGCAGCATGTACCCAACAGGTGGGCCTAGATAGCCCTGGACAATCACTGCACTGCAGTGCCAGGACCTGTGAGTGCAAGTTAACCTTCAGCATGGGTCTAGCCTGACATGGCGGATGTGCCTATGTACATCTAAAGGGTAGCCTCAACAGCTGCTGCTGCAAGCTTTTTACTCTATAACAATGAGTCTGAAGTTATCACTTTAAACTATGGCACTAAAGAAACTGCCTTGGTTAGGGTGAATATGACTCTCACACTCAGGTGTTGTTGCATGAGTTTATTAGGATTCCCTAATTGAACTTATTGACCAAAATACTCTCTCAATTTGTGGGTATCACTGCCAGGTAGGTCTTTTCATGCAATTGGTGGAGATTATCAATATAGACAGCCAGTCCTTTAGTCCCATTCCTCTTCTAAGCTTCGAACCTCAGCCTGGTAAGTCTCCAGATTCTCCACTAAATCAAATTGATGACATGACTGTCTCCCATCATCTTCCTGCTCCTCATTAATGTGTTCAATAGCACTGAGTACTAGATTATCTAACCTCAGGATCAGGCATTGGACAGCCTGTTCCTGAGTCCATCTATTGCAGGAAGTTACCTGCCTCAAATACTTTATGCACTGGTATAGATCATCTTTTGCTATACCTTTGAACATCTGGGTATGACCTGTTTGGCTTCATTTACTGGGACTTATGAGATTGGTCGAAACCTCTTCCTTACAATATATCGACTAATGTTAGTTGGAGGTGCTGTCAATGCCATCAATTCAGGACAGAAGCTGCTTACAGGGACTCCAACATTCACATGGGCAGTCAGACCCTGATCCAAGGTGGTAAGATACATCATAAAGCCCTGCATGACCCCAGGTATCACAAGACACTGTTGATGTCATGGGAAACCTTTAAGTCCTAAAAGGCACATCACCCCATGATTCATGGTTTTTACCTGTGGATATCTGTTATTTCACCTGCTGGGGAAATAACTCTGATGGGCAGAGGTTATCCACCATTGGCACTTCCAGCCTTGCTGCACTGGTCACCAGGGTGATCTATACCAGAGTTTGGTTCATGGTACTCTCATTACCAATAGACTAGAAGTTCTGTATAGACCTTCTCATGCAATCTCAGACTCACCAGATACTATTACATTTCAGCAATTCTCAATCATCTGCACTCCCATTTCAACAAGATTGATTCTCGGGGGTATAGTTTACTATAGTGGTCTGGGAGTTCCAAACATGAGTAAATTCACCTGAGTCTGTGGTTGCAAGCTGACTGATGTCATGAACCTTTGCATCATAGGAGAAAGTCCCATGTCCAGGAAAACACCTCTACTAGACTTGGCACATATTTCCTGCAGTTGTCTCTCTCCAGCAGTGAACTCTTTCTCCTGGTCATGAGTATTTCTACATCTAGAAAATGTTTTCCATCAGTAACAGTAGTTCTTTAAATCTAACAAAACCCCAGTGACCAAGCTAGGGCTAGTATACACAGTAACAAAAACAGAAACTCTGCAATACATTCTGTTGTCATGGCACCAAAATTTCTCCTTCCCCTCTACCTGTAGTATTTTCAGGCAAAACAGATTTCTGCAAAAACATCAGATACATCCCCTAATAATACCAGAGTCAAACAAGAAAATTGGAAGTAGCCTGAATTTGAAAACTTGACGTAATTTTAATCTTGGGTAAAAAATAAAAATAAAAGTTTGAAGAAAATGAATATCCACTTCTACAGAATCATTGAATAAGTCATCAGCATTCTGTCTGTCAAGAAGAATTTCTGGTGAACTAGTCGCAATCAAAAATCAGGTAGAACTGAAAATGAATTGTTAATTTGATTTTAAAAGAAAAGCTTATATTCTTTCTCTTGCAAGAGGGTCATTACATGACTGTTGTTCTCTCACAGAATTTGCTGGCTGTAACATACATACATCATCCACTAGGTCAACAAAAAATGTTGCAGTTATTGAACCTTTTGACACAAATGTAATACAACATCCTTTTGGGGCAGAGTAGATATTATTTGCTATTAAACAACAAAGAAACAAAGCAAAGTCAATGGATGTCTGGATCATGTTCAGACTAAAACTACAGTGAAACTAGATAAACAAAAAATTGTAAAAATTCCTATATCACTAGAAACATAAAGAATATGTTATGCCTGCATATCACAAATCCATCACTAAAAACATAATTATTAGCTTCATGTTGTTGCCTATTTCCCTTAAAAATACTACGAGACAACAGTATAAAATATTGACTGAACTTCGTATAGCATAGGATATAAATAATTTCTAATTGGGTGTGATATATCAACATGGTAAAAATCAGTTAAATAGCATTCTCAAGTTAAAGGTGTAGTAAGTATTGAAACATTTGACATTATAATGTCTATAAAAGGAAGTGCCACAAGTTATTGCACAAAACCTGGTATAGTTACATGTCGAAATGTTAAAGGTAAGATACTCAACTTCAAACTAGCTGTGTTGTATCTTTAAACAAACCTACCAAATAAAGGTCAGTTCAGCAACAAATTGGTATATATTATAACAACAGCCTCCACTGACCTGTGCTGGGAGAAACACAATAGTCATCTTCAACTGAATGTCCATACACATCATAGTAGCCTTCATATTCTATGGAAAAAACAACAACTTTAATTTACTCAGATAAATCATACAAAGCTGCTATAGACACACACAGATGCTCAATTTTTTGACATCTCAATATTTGGAATGATGAAAAAATAAACTCCACCCTTACGCAAATTAATTAAATTTTCAATTAAAACACAAGTAAAATGAGCCTTTGTCAATGCCTTCTTTATTTCCTTTCTCATACAATACACACTATAAGACCTACCATTATTATGATTTCTAGTGGGCTAGTGTTATAATCTATCTATATACTTCTGATTTCAACAAAAATTAACAATTTTCTTACACTGAAAATGTATTTCTGATAGGTACTTTCCTCACACAAAGCTACCTCGATCTTCTTTCTGCTCTCTAAGCATTGCTTAAAGATTTTCGCACACAGTACACCAGTCTATATACCCCATCAATTTCATGACATTTTTAAACATGTATATATCATGTGACTACTCTCCACCAAGAGTATTGCATCACCTATATTGGCGAATTGCTCTCTCTGCTATTCCTACTCAGTTCTCACTTTCAAGAATTGGCAGGCACTAAAACAAGAACACCAGCAGTGGTGAGGAAGTGTGAGAAGTGTATTAGGGAAGGTAAGTACTTACTGGAAATACATTTTCAGTGTAAGAAAAATGTTAACTTCTAATAATGTCCTACCTCCCCTCACACAAAGCTAGAATCCCACACTGCAAAGGTGGAGGGGCCAATTTAGGTGCACAGCATTGAAACCAAGTGTAAAGTGACTGTCCAGAATGAATGAATGTGCTCCAAGATGAAAACAAAGTGTACTTATGAGGTACCACACTACTTCTGGAACAGTTATGTTCTTCACCCTTGAAGTGGGAAATGAATCTAATATGGGCATAGAAAAGGATCTGAAGAAGTGCAATTTGTTCTGAGAGGTGCAATCCATATTAAAATATATACTGAATTAGTTATGTACATCTACAACCTCAACCAGACAGAAGAGGTTCAATAACCTATTCTCAGCATTAAGAGGTTGAGGATAAAAAAAAAAATATATATATATATTGTGGCTAGGGTATGTAGACCGTGTTACACATACCCATCAACCCCAACCATAAGTAAACAGTGTCATATGTCAAACAATCAAAATATGAAGAGGAAGATAGCTTTTAGCTGAAACTGGACAAACTCCTAAAACCACTGTAGAAGCATGAAGTACAACAAACTGAACCTAGCATAATGGAGTCGTGGCATTGCCTTAACTCAACCATAAGAACAGGGTAATATCTGCAACCAGTATTACAAGCATAAATCACTTGCCTGTAAATGCAGGGAAGAGACATCCTACATCCGGAATTATGAGGAGGACTTGGAACATTTGCTCAATTGTAGAAACAGTGTATGTACATCCTGTTGCTGGTATTACGAGGCAGATGAAGTTCCACAAACTCAACCATAGGAGAAGGAAAAAACCATCTGCAATCAGAATTATGAAAAAGAGGGGCCTCTACTGCACACAACTGTAGGAACAGGGCAGTGTCATCCCAAACCTAATATTACAAGGAGGATCCCACGTAGGCTGAACCTGTTCCAAATGACAGCTGTCCAGTTGAGAAAAAACATCCAGGGGAAATGGAAGGATGGAAACTAGCCTTGCTCTCTTCTCACTGAGTGTACAATCATGAGTATTTTTGGTAAAATAAATTTATAAACTCATTCAGGAGGAAGTCTACATAGTCTACTACCCCAGCAACTGGGAAGTGATAAGGACTCCTCTGCTCTCCTGCAAGACAAAAGGGGAAGTGAATACAGTGGAAAGTCCAAAGGAACATCACACTGGAGAAAGTGCAATGAGTGTCTGCAATTCAGTATTTTGAAAAGCAGACTGACCCAAATTTATTCAATCAAAGGGTCAGCATGGATGGGCAGAAATCCCCTTTTGCTTTACTCAGGAAGTCCATGAGTGATGATCCACCACTGAGTGAAATTTATTGATATCTAGAAACATATATATATATATATATAACTGAGTATGCCATCAATGGTCTTGTGGAACACCCCATCTCTACAGTGAGCATTATAGCACAATCAGCAAATAGTACAGGTTTGGGGCAAAGCATACCAGACCAGGAAACACTCACCACAAAGTGGGATCCCATTATGAGTGATAAAAATGAGGGTTGCAGAAAATAAAAACATAAATGAAGTGATAATACTTACCCCAGTCGAAGGCAAAAGTACATGTATAGAATCTCCATGGTAGGGAGACAATATCCTGAAAAAGCTACAGTCACATTGTGCAGATAATGAGTGACAAGAGTACTGAGAGTAGTCCACATTCTGGCCTGTACATCTCCTCCAGAGAACGGCAAAGGCGAGCAGCCAAAGACATGGTGATATGACAAAATTGATGAGAAAAAATGTTGTGGAGACAGCGACCTTTCATGGAGTAAGTTCAAATACACCAGCCTAAAGAGTTGACAAGCCCACCCAGTTAGCATGACAAGGGACAGATCACAGGAAATAGAAGGGTTCCAGGGAATAAAAAGTTAGGAATGTGAACCCCTAAAAAGAGACAGTACATGCCAAATAACACTGCAAGGTGCAAACTAGACAAAGATATCAATCAGGATTGGAATGGGAGTACAGGTGAGAGATGAAAGGTAAGGATATGGGTGTGAAACCAAATCAACTTCAAAAGTAGCACAGGTTTTAGGGAGGAAAGACTGGTCAGGATATAGGATGACATAAGAGGAATGGTAGAGGATATGGATAATGTTAATGGCATAAATATCTGTTCGAAGACATCTAAGCGCAAGGAGGAGAAGGAAACAGATCTTGAGGGAGAAATGGTACATGAAACATATAGACAAATGTTGAAAGGGAGTACAGAAAAGGAGATAAATGACCAGATTGAGATCCCAGTCAGGCATATCAAAGGCACAGAAAAGGAGATAAATGACCAGATTGAGATCCTAGTCAGGCATATCAAAGGCACAGAAAAGGAGGGAAATGACAGGGGAAGACAAAATCTTACAAAACTTAATGAAACGAAGATGTTCAATAAGGCAGCCCCATAGCTAGACATGGTCAAAGAGGTCAAACAACCAGGTGAAGAATTGGGAAATATGAGGAATAGAATAGTGGGAAGGATGGAAGGTCTGATGGATTGGTAAAGGAAAGATACAATATGTGGTGTCAGTCCCTGGGCTGAAACAATGGCCCTGACAAAGCCATACATGAAGACGAAATGAATTGAAGTTTAGATGAACAATGTACAACCAAGGTTGATGGGGTAAAAACCAAGACAGACATGAGGGTACAGGAGGTTGTATAAGTAAAAGTCAGAGCAGAGGGAACCATTGTTGCACCGGCCAATATGGAGCCACAAGTAGGACTAGACATGGAGCAGTTTACATTAGGGATAGAATTCAGGAGAGGAGTCAAACAGGAGAGTAAGTATGGATGTGATAACTTCTCCAATCTTGACTGAACACATCCACCCCCAGAGCTAGTGGGTGTGGAACGAAAAACCAAAAGAAAGGAAATTTGGTGATCCAATGGGAAAGCATCAATAGAAGGTGTTCCCAGCTAAGAACACATCCACCAAAAGCCTTGTGGATCAAAGGACCACTCCAAGGGGAAAATCTTGTTGGGTCGAGATAAATGATCTGCAACCAGATTCAGAGCACCAGGAACAAGGCAAGTTAAGACTTTCATGTGGTGACTGTGGGCCCAAAAAAGGTTTGAAAGCACAGAGACCTGGATTTGGTACCCCCTTGCTTGGTGATGTAAGCTCGACGAACCACCATATGTTTGAGAATGTTGATAAGGAGAGAAGACTCGTCAACTGACCAGTGATGGGAAATCTCCTGAGAGTCAAGGTAAGCACCCCAACCCTCTAAAGATGTGATCATGAATGGATGTAAACCCGAACAGGGTGAAGTAGGTCCAAGGAGAATAAGTAACAACACTTCCTAAAATTCCAAGGATGGATTTTTAAAAAAATCAAAAACACTATAATCAGTATGGCAAATATGAGGATTTCATTCACTTTGATCATGTAGCACAGAGATCAACAGACTACTCTAATCGGTCAATAGAATGAGTTCAACTAGAATAGAGCCAATCAGTACTGATTATAAATGAACATTCTCTAAGAAAGAGCAGTTGTACCATACAATCTATTTTATCATAAAATGTAACCCCTACACGGGGCCAACCAATATCATACATACATACACACACAATTTTCTGGTTTAGTTGCTTTTTTGTTCAATGTGATAGCTTTTGGCCATTCTGAACAAAAAAGTTGTATTTTTTGTGTGGCTTGATTTTATGATCAAAATAAAGCATCAAAGATGTCATCAATTACTACTATGAAAAATAATTTTTGTTCTGGTTGTTTGTTTGGCATTTATTGGTGCATAGCAACTACGTTATCCATGCCAAACATCCAGTACAAAAGCTGCAAGTAAAATACAATAAAATGTAAAAAGAAGACAAGTTAAAAATAAAACAATGCCCAAAAATTAGGTAAAAATTTAAATAGAAGTAAAAAAGGCCCATGGCCTGTATAAAACTAAAAACACAATCAAGCTGGACAGTGTCACTATCTAATATCAAAAGTAAACCCTTAGAAAACATGTTTAAAATGGTGCTGCCGCTGACATTCGCAATGGCAGCACGAAAGTAATATGTAGGCAATTGTGATCACAAAGGCCACACATTGGCAGATCAGTCCCACATAAAAGAAAATGCTGAGTAAAGAAACTGTGACCAATGCATAGCCTACACAAGACAACTTCCTCCCATCGATCCTTACGTAAACTAGATGGCCAAAAAACAACAGTAGGTTTGATCTGGAAAAGCTTGTTATGAAGTTGCTCATCCCAGGTTGACTGTCAACTGGCATAAAGATGTACCTTGATCACAGGACCATAATCTATAAATGGAACATGCAAGGTTGTGACTGCGCCAGAGTAGACGGACTTAGCTGCGGTGTCAGCAAGCTC